AAGGAGAGAATATTCCTTATTAAGAGTAAGTATGATATCAAATGGAAAAGAAAATAGAATGGGAATATTAAATTTCCAGGTCACATTGTATCCTATCAGTTACTGAAATATGATGGTCAAAAACTAATTAAAATAAATATTATCAAGCCCGAAAGCTGAGGGGGGTGAATTGACACAAAATTCTTATGATTTTAGTATAAGTCATTTACACATGACACGTTATTTCAAGAACAAAAACTTAAAGCCAATGCAAGGAGGTAGATGAGGGCACTTTACCTCGTGGAAGAATGTTCTATACAAATACATAAGAGAATACTAATTATTATTGTTTTGTTTTTTAATTTCCAGAAACTATCAATTAACTGTTGCCACTGAACTTTTAATGAGTGAATCACTTTGGGGCTTGTTAAAAGTACAGCAGTTGATCACGTAGTTTTTGCCTTATTAATAAATTGCTCTGCTGATTGTTAGAAGCTTCTAGCATCCCTCCAGGACCACCCTCATTATGATACATTTGGTTGCCTGTTTTTCTCATAATTAAATACCACAGAGAGGAACCCCAGAGAGTCCTCTTACATGGCCATCTCGAAAAGTTGTCAGATGAGTTCTAGTAGCCTTCAGAGCAAGTGAAAAGCAGTTCCCATGTTCTCAATTAAACTTCCCTCCTGTGGGAGAGAGGGCCTCTGTTGATGGGGAATTTTTTTCTCAAAGATGGTTTTGAATGGAGATTGTCAAGAACTGTTTATCTTTTTTGAATTTTATTATGTTACGTTAGTCACCATACAGTACATCATTAGTTTTTGATGTAGTGTTCCATGATTGTTTGTGAATAACACCCAGTGATCTATGCAATCTGTGCCCTCCTTAATACCCACCACCAGTCTCACCCATCCCCTACCCTCCTCCCTTCTAAAATCCTCAGTTTGTAGAAGGGCCACATGCACACCAATGTTCTTAGCAGCAATGTCCACAATAGCCAAACAGTGGGAAGAGATGAGATGTCCTTCAACAGATGAATGGATAAAGATGTGGTCCATATACACAATGGTATATTACTCAGCCATCAGAAAGAATTGTTTACCTGTTATGAACTAAACTATTTATGAGTAAAATGTTCTAATGTCTGAGATTTCCTTTGAAATACTCCCAAGGGGCATCTGGGTGTCTCTAGAGCATGCGACTCTTGATCTCAGGGTTTTGAGTTTGAGCCCCATGTTGGGTGCAGAGATTACTTTAAAAAATAATTTAACAAAAATAAGGGCACCTGGGTGGCTTAGTTAGTTAAGCCTCTGCCTTCAGCTCAGGTTATGATCTCGGGGTCCTGGGACTGAGCCTCACATTGGGCTTCCTGCTCAGCAGGGAGTCTGCTTCTCCCTCTGCCCCTCGCCTGCTTGTACTCTTTCTCTCTCAAATAAATAAATAAAATCTTTTTAAAAAATAAACAAAACAAAATAAAAAAATAAAAATATTCCTAAACAAAAAACTTTAACAAAACCAATAGAATAAAAACAAAAGAACTGGGGGCGCCTGGGTGGCTCAGTGGGTTGAAGCCTCTGCCTTCGGCTCAGGTCATGATCCCAGGGTCCTGGGATCGAGCCCCACATTGGGCTCTCTGCTCAGCGGAGAGCCTGCTTCCCTCTCTCTCTCTGCCTGCTTCTCTGCCTACTTGTGATCTCTCTGTCAAATAAATAAATAAAAAATCTTAAAAAAAAAAAAAAGAACTGGAAGAGATAAATGAAACAAGATCGGCAAAATGAAGACGCCTATGCAGGGGGGGTTCATTCTATGACTCTATTCATAATGAAAACTTTCAAATAGGTGTATATAAAAGGATTCCTCATCTCCTACATCTATATATCAGTTATTTCTCTATGTATTGATTCTTTCAGTTATACATAACAGAAACTCCAATCTACACTGGCTTAAACAATAAAAGGAACTGTACAGGTTCGTGTAGCTAAAAAGTCAAGGGCAGCTCAAGGTATCAGGAGATGCTCGATCCTACAGCTCAGCGGTGTCACCCGGACTGAAATATATCACTCTGCTTTGCCTTCTATGGTGGTTGGTCTCAATCTAAGGCTCACATTTCTCCTAGTTTCAAGAAGACTACTAACAACCCCTGGGTTACATGTCTCATCCAGCCAGAGCTGGATTTGTCCCAGCATCTCCAACAAAAGTCCTGATGGGACGAGCTTAAGGTCATATGCCTAAAACTGAACCATCTTCTAACATGGAGGTAGAATCCGCTTTTATTAATGTAGGTTAGGTCACATTCTTTACTCCTAGAAATCACGGTCAGGAAGTTCACAGATCTCCAAATGGAATCAGTGTTGTTGGGAAAGAGGAAAGGGAAAATGGATGATAAGAGGCAGTCATCAAATATCTGCTAAACTCTCCACATGTAAGGTTTCCAGTACAATAGAGTAAAGGGCACTGAAAGACATCTTCTAAAACTGAAAAACAGATGTAAAACTATGGTCAGGGAACAGGGACCTGGATAGTCTGTAGAAGTGAACGGTGACCTTAAGGAAAGGATAGGCAGTGTCTGGAGTAGATGCGAATAGCAGTGAGGCATTCTATGAGGCAAGCACTGCCATAATACCAAAAACCAGGAAAAAAGTACTAGAAAAGACATCTACAAATCAGTATCTCTCAAGAATATCAATTTAAAAATCCTCAATAAAATACTACGAAATCAAATCCAATAATGTATAAAAAGAATTATAGTGGGAGGGGCCTACGCATGCAGTTGGTTGAGTGTCTGACTCCTGGTTTTGGCTCAGGTCATCATCTCAGGCTCATGAGATAAAGCTGGCTTCAGGCTCTGTGCTCAGCATGGAGTCTGCTTGGATTCTCTCTCATTCTCTCTCTGCCTCTCCCCACTGTGGTCTGTCTCTCTCTCTCCAAAAGAAATATATCTGGGGCACCTGGGTGGCTCAATCATTAAGTGTCTGCTTTCGGCTCAGGTCATGATCCCAGGGTCCTGGGATCAAGCCCCATGTCAGGCTCCCTGCACTGCAGGAAGCCTGCTTCTCCCTCTCCCATTTCCCCTGTTTGTGTTCCCTCTCCAGCTGTCTCTCTTTGTTGAATAAATAAAATCTTTAAAAAAAAATTTTTTTTAAATAAAAGAAATCTGTAAAAAAAAAAAAAAAAGAATTATATAGTGGGACTTATTCCAGGTATGCAAGGCTGGTTCAATATTAAAAAATATACTAAAATGTCATTCATCACATCAACAGGCTAAAGAATAAAAATCATATGATCATGTTAATAGATACAGAAAAAGTATTTAACAAAACCCAACACTGATATATGATAAAAAAAATTCAACAAACTAGGAACACATGGGAATTTCCCAACCTGATAAAATAAAAAAACAAACCTGCCAAAATACCCTACAGCCAATATTGTACCTACTTGTGAGAAACTAGAAGCTTTCCCATTAAGATCAGGAACACAGTAAGAATGACCCCTCTCACCACTCCTTTCCAACATCATACTGGAAGCCCTATGTAATTCAATAAGACAAGAAAGGAAATAAAAGGTATACAGATTGAGAAAGAAGAAATAAAAGTCTTTGTTTACAGATGGCATGACCGTGTATGTGTAAAACCCTAAAAAACAAACAACATGGGATAACTGGGTGGCTCAGAGGGTTAAGCCTCTGCCTTCAGCTCAGGTCATGATCTCAGGGTCCTGGGATCGAGTCCTACATCGGGCTCTCTGCTCAGTGGGGAGCCTGCTTCCTCCCCTCTCTCTGCCTGCCTCTCTGCCTGCTTGTGATCTCTCTGTCAAATAAATAAATAAAATCTTAAACAAACAACATAAAACTCCTGAAACTATAAAGCATTTACAGCAAAGTTTCAGGTTAAAAGATTACTATATGAAAGTCAATCACTTCCCTATAAACTAACAATAAACAATTGTAATTTGAAATTTTAAAAAATACCATTTACATTAGTAAAATAATAAGATGGTTTGTACATCTTATAAATACCAAAAACATGTACAAGATATATGGAGAAAACTATAAGATGAAAGAGATTTTTAAAATAATAAATGGAGAAATATTCTATGTTCATTGAGAGGAAGACTCAGTATTGTTCAATGGCATTTTTTTTTTTTTAGATTTTATTTATTTATTTGACTGAGAGTGAGAGAGAGAGAGAGAGAGATAGTGAGAGAGGGAATACAAGCAGGGGAAGCAGGAAAGGGAGAAGCAGGCTTCCCATTGAGCAGGGAGCCTGATGTGGGGATCGTTCCCAGGATGCCGGGATCATGACCTGAGCCAAAGGCAGACGCTTAACGACTGAGCCACCCAGGTGCCCCTGTTCAATGACATTTCTTCATAACTTCATCTGTAAATTCAATGGAATCCCAATAAAAAATCCCAACAAGTTATTTTGTGGGTGTTGATGAAATGATTTTAAAATATATATGGCAAAAAGACCCAGAATAACCAACAAAATGTGGAAAGAACAAAGCTGGAGGACTATCATCACCCAAAACTGAATTACTCTCAACCTACAAGACAATGTGGTATTGGTGAAAAAATAAACAAATAGATCAGTGGAACAAAAGAGAGAGCCCAGAAATAAAACTACATAAACATGGTCAACTGATCCTTCACAAAGGAGTGAAGACAATAAAATGGAGAAAAGACTGTCTTTTCAACAAATGGCACTAAAAGGGGCATCTACATGCAAAAAAAAAAAAAGAAAAAGGAAGGAAGTAAGGAAGAAAAAGAAAAATGAATCTAGATGCAGATTTTATACTCTTCAGAAAATTAACTCAAATGGATTCTAAACCTGGGATACCTGGGTGGCTCAAGCAGTTAAGCACCTGCCTTCCGCTCAGGTCATGATCCCAGGGTCCTGGGATTGAGTTCCACATGGGGCTCCTTGCTCAGCGGGGAGCCTGCCCCTCCCTCTGCTTCTGCTCTCTGACAAAAAAATAAAATCGCTTAAAAAATGGATTCTAGATGTAGCTTCCGAACATCCTGCTCACCGGTACACCAGGGGTTGGAAAAACCACGCTAGGCAAAGAACTTGCATCAAGATCAGGACTGAAATACATTAATGTGGATGATTTAGCTCGAGAAGTCTGATCAACAGATATTATGGAGTCTGGCAAGATGGCTTCTCCCAAGAGCATGCCGAAAGATGCACAGATGATGGCACAAATCCTGAAGGATATGGGGATTACAGAATATGAGCCAAGAGTTATAAATCAGATGTTGGAGTTTGCCTTCCGATATGTGACCACAATTCTAGATGATGCAAAAATTTATTCCAGCCATGCTAGGAAAGCTACTGTTGATGCAGATGATGTGCGATTGGCCATCCAGTGTCGTGCTGATCAGTCTTTTACCTCTCCTCCCCCAAGAGATTTTTTATTAGATATTGCAAGGCAAAGAAATCAAACTCCTTTGCCATTAATCAAGCCATATTCAGGCCCCAGGTTGCCACCTGATAGATACTGCTTGACCGCTCCAAACCATAGACTTAAGTCTTTACAAAAAAAGGCATCTACCTCTGCGGGAAGAATAACAGTTCCATGGTTAAGTGTTGGTTCAGTTAGTAGCAGACCAAGTACTCCCACTCTTGGCACACCAACCCCACAGACCATGTCTGTGTCAACTAAAGTAGGGACTCCAATGTCCCTCACAGGGCAAAGGTTTCCAGTACAGATGCCCACTTCACAGTCCCCAACTGTAAAAGCATCAATTCCTGCAACATCCACAGTTCAGAATGTTCTGATTAATCCATCATTAATTGGGTCCAAAACCATTCTTATTACCACTAACATGGTGTCATCACAAAATACTGCCAATGGATCATCAAATGCAATGAAAAGAAAACGAGAAGACGATGATGACGACGATGATGACGACGATGACTATGATAACTTGTAATCCAGCCTTGATGCTTGTAACATGTATACTTGGTCTCGAATCCACTGTACTAGATTAAACATGCATGCTGGGTATTTTCAAGTCGTGTTGTAGAAAACTTAAACGCTATTTAATGAGTAAATATGGTTATCCTTTCTGATTGAGATGTTGGGTTTTCTTTAATAGGATTAGTAATGGTTATTCATCAGCCTTTAAGTGTAAAAAAATAAAACTGTTTTCATCAAAAAAAAAATGGATTCTAAACCTCAATGTAAAATACAAAACAGTAACACTCATGGAAAATAACATAAGGGTAAACCCAGATGACCTTAGGTTTGGTGATGACTTTTTGGATAACACAACTGAATACACAATCCATGAAAGAACTAACTGATAAGCTACACTTCATTAAGATTAAAAACTTCTAGCGGCGCCTGTCAGCTAAGCATCTGCCTTCACTGCAGGTCATGATACCAGGTCTTGGGATCAAGCCCCCCCTCCAGTGCCCTGCCCAGCAGGCAGCCTGCTTCTCTGCTTCTCTTTCTCCCTGCCCTTCCTTCTGCTTGCGCTCTGTCAAATAAATAAATAAAATCGTTTCTAAAAAGATTAAAATTTTCTACACTGCAAGACGCTGTCAAACAATTAAGAAGACAAAACAGACTAGGAGAAAAAATTTGCAAAAGATAAATCTGATAGGAGTGCCTGGTTGGCTCAGTGAGAACATGAGACCTTTTTTTTTTTTTTTTTTTTAAGAGAAGGACAGGAGGGGCAGAGGAAGAGGGACAGAGGGAATCCTAAGTAGGCTCCATGCTCATCCCTGAGCCTGACTCACAATACTGAGATCATGACCTGGGCTGAAATCAAGAGTCGAATGCTTACCTGACTAAGCCACCCAGGGGTCACAGAACTTGTGACTCTTGATATTCCGATAGTGAGTTCAAGCCCCATGCTGGGTGTAGAGCTTACTTTAAAAAAAAAAAAAAAAGACATATCTGATAAAGGACTGTTATACAAATTATGTAAAGAATTCTTAAAACACAAAAATGAGAAAATGAACAACCCAATAAAAATGGGCAAAGATCTCAACAGGCACCTCATCAAACAATGTTGTTGTTCACAGATGAAAAGATGCTCCGTATCATGTCACTAGGGAATTGCAAATTAAAACAATTTGACACTATACAACTATCAGAATGGTGAAAATCCGAAACTACTGAAAACAATTGCTAGCAAAGATGTAGGGGAACAGGAACTTTCATTCATTGCTGATGGGAATGGAAAATGGTACAGCTGTTCCTGTTACTCTCCTGCAAGTCTCAGACCCTTTGGGCTCGACAGCGGTGAGAGGAGGGGTTGTTTCCAGGCCTCAGACTGTGTACAGGAACAAGAAATGATTTTGGAGAACACAGTATTCTGGTTAACTCTACAGGGGTATCAGGAAAAAAAATAGGGTTCTGAGAACAAGACACCATCCGTCAGAAGGGCTTTTTACCCTTGGATGACAGGTAAGAGATCAACACTGAGTCAAGATAGCACTTCCTTGGATGTCACTGCCCCATTAACTCTTTCCCTTCCTTCTGAAACGGTGAGGGCTATGAGTGGTGAGGATGGTGGCGGGATGGAGACCCAGCAGGCTGTTTCAGAGAGCTGAAGGGGAAAAAGGCATAATAAGTAGTCAGCCGGGAGCCCTGATTCTTAAATCCTATTCCCCAACTGCACGGACAAGAATTTGATTCCTTCCTGGAGCTCTCATAATCAAAGGACATTGCTGTATCTGACGTAGGAACCATAAATCCTCAATTTCCTCCCTGCATCTTCTCCAACACAACTTAAGACAATCATTTCCTGACATTTACGTTAATACCTGCTCTCACAAATGGGACCGATGGTCACTGTTCCTCACCATCCTGGCAAGTAGCATAGATGAGATCCTGTAAAATACACTTCAAAGAAAAAAGATGTTATACGGGGTTGATCCTTCACCATAGCCTGGTACCAGTGCCCTCTGTAAACTGAAGTGCCGCTATCTAATCCCATTTGCAAAGTACTCCGCCATGGCAGATGCCGGAAGCTACTGAGATCGTTCTCACTAAAGCATTTGGATCTCCTAACAGCTACAGAAGATGCCAAACACAATTACTCAGGATGACCTTGGAGAAGTGAATTCTTCTGTTGGGCTCTTGCAAAGGAGAATTCTCCAAGTCATCTCCTAGGAGGATGGACAGGTCTAGTCTACTGTGCAATACGGAGCCACGGGCTCTGAAGCATCAGCTTCCAAAGCTATGTCAGAATGATGCCTGTCCCACTAACCAAGAAGCTGTGTGGTGCGGGGGGAAAAGGAGAGTAAATTGTGAGTCGTGTGTCGTGGGAACTAGTTTTGTCCTACTAAATCAGTTATTCTCCCAGGTTTCAATAGTGGTGAAAGGATTAACTACGTTCATGTTCCCCACACTGATGTTCCAAAAACAATCTTGAATTGTTCGGTGAGAGTGTTGTCCAGAAAGTGCCCACCACTAGGGCCTCCATAGTCAAACAGGGCCCGTATTCTGCCTGCTTACCCTCTTCCACTTTGACTAACCCCGACCCTGAGTTTCGCGTACACATTGAAGCATAAATGCTCTGAGAAATCTTCTTCTAACAAAACATTCACTTTATTCTAACCCATCATCCCCAAATTTACTTGAAGAATACTTTTTTCATGTAATACCTCTGCACAACTCACAGTGTTTTCTGAGTCCCAGTTTGGGACACACTGACAGTCTTAGATTTCTAAGGTCCTATCCAGATCCTTCTATCCATGTCCTCCATGGCAGGAGAGGCTCGAGTACTTGCAAGACCACCAGGTCTATGTGAGCACGCAGGCCCTTATGACCAACAAGGCAAATGCTGGAGAGCAGACATCAGGGAAAAGGGTGCCCAGAGGAGAAGCAAGGTGAATGGAAGTGATTTTCCTGCAAAGTGCATGGAATCCAGTCTTCCTATTCCAGGGCGAAGATCCCTGAGCTGAGTTTGAGCATCCATGCGGATAAAATGACAGCCCTGGATATTCACAGGGCCCCATGTGAAATACTCTGTGTGATCCTTCAGAGGACTTGATGCTCTTTCCCTCCACCTCTTCTGGTAAAGAGCAAGACAGGGACTCATTGTCATCACAATCAATGAGCACTTGATACCTCGAGGAAGATTACTGAGCCAGTGGGTGTTATGAGTAACCTAAGCTAGTGTGCGGGTGGTCATGGCAGTTTCTCCCCCTTGCAATATTCCATTCTTGTGTTGATTACGTAAGATAATGTGTCAGTCTTGGGCGTGGCACTGAAGACTCAAGGCTGCACAAGACACAACCCCTGCCCTCCTCATGCTTACATTTTAATGGGGGAAGACCAACAAAAACAAGTAAACAAACCAAACAACTCTTAAGTGCTAATGCATGTTCTGATGGAAACATACACAGCGCTCGGACTGACAACAGCAGATATGACTGGCACATGAGTAAAAGGAAGAGGGAATCTTGTGCAAGTTTGCATTTTAAAATCTGGGAATTTTGGAGAGACCATAGAACTGAGTATCGCAAAAGTGCCCCTTCACTGAAAGAGTAAGACTGGCAATACAAGCTTCTCCTTTAAGGACAATAAATAGCTTTAACGAGGGCTAATGCTCCCCCACCATACCTAAAGGATGAAGGAAATATTTTTAAAAACCTATTTCTAACTCTCATCCATAAACAATTGCTCCGTAAGCTACTAATTTTAAAGAAAACTTTACTAAACACATTTTACTTGAACTCTTATTAATGTTAACGATCTTTCACTTTTTTTCTTCTAATGCCCTGACACTGTTAAGTTGTTCATAAGCGTGGTAGAAAAATACTTAGTGTAATAATTATATCAAAAACCTACTATTTGTTTTAAAAAAATTCAACAGTACACTTTCTGCTGGTTCCTGGCTGCGCAGACATTCCCGATAGAAGCTTTTCACTCAACTGCAACGTCTTGCTCCTGCTTTCCAGGATGACCTTCCTCTAGTCCAAGAGGGCAGTCCCCTTCCTCTCTACATCAATCAGGACAAATCTGCTTCTGCCCTATGTCCTGTGTTTTCGGAGGCCAACTCACAGAAGGTGTGAGGAGGTAGTTACCACACGATTGCTTAAGTCTACTACACTCACAACAGGAACGAAAGGCAACCCCTTCCCTCTCCGGAGCCCACTATCAACAGAAACACATCTTTATGCACAAAAGCAGCAGAGCACAGAGGAACAGAGAGCAAGGGAAGGGGAA